CACACACACACACACAATCCAAGTCGGGCTCCAAAAAGTCATTCCCCCAGCGCTCGGCGTGCCCAGGGTGGGTCGGATCCTGTACATCAGCAGAGCTCCACCGATGCAGGTGCAGATGGCACTAGGCTAGTTTTTCCCCAACCGAAGGAAAAGCCCGCTGTGTTACCAAGGCAATAGATATTCCTTACCCTATGCTGCAGCACCAGCTGGTGGTTACCAAGAGCTGTTCAAACAAAATCCATCAGCGAAGGAGAAAGGAATTCATTACCCTTTTGGCTTCAAAGGAAAACACGTCTTTGTAATTAATCCAAGCACATGCCCTCTCTTCCTATTGACATCCATTTAAATAATCACAGAAGAAAAAAAAAATGACAAGTTCCTTTTAAAAGAAGAAAAAAGAAATCACTGGTACTTAACAAGCATGTACACTTTATATATCCCTAATACTCCAGGGGCAACAAAGAGAGCAGCTTTAATTATATGCAAACTCCACTAGATCAAGAGGAGAAAATAGTTAAAAATAGGAACACTTCCCCCCCCCCCCCCAAAAAAAAAAAAAACCCCTTTAATTCAATTTATTGAGCAGCATCTTTATTGCAACAAAAAAGGATTTGTAATAAAACGCAGCAAAACCTAAGGTTTCCACTTTACATGATTAAAAGCCATTTAATTAGAATGGGGGGAGACCCATAAACCTACTGGAGTGAGACATGCAATTCCATTAACACAAGTCAACGCTTAAACAGCAGGCACTTCGTGTTTTAAAATCAAACACCTGGACAACTACTGTGCAGAACATCAAAGGAAAACCATGTGAGGATCTCTCCTTTTGGAAAGAGAACCCAAAAGCACCATGGAGGGCACAGTGCATGTGTATTTACAGGGGCCAGGTACTCAAGTTAGCAGGCAATTCGAGGCAGCGTTCGAACCTGGCTGATTTGCTGGGTTATTGCCTCCACGATGGTCGGTGTAACGCCAACAGCAAAACAGACTGCCGTACATGAGAAACACACGGCAGAAAGAAATGCAAGCAATCCTTCTTTTCGGTTACAGGTCTCAGGACCCTGTTTACTCTCAGGGACGTTCTTCACTCGGAAATTTCTTGCTGCACACACCACAGATGTGGCTCCAAAGGGTTAAAGCTTTAATGCATTATCAGATCCAGAAGGTTTTTCCATAACCTATTCCCAAATGCCCCTATTAGCAGGGAATATGTTTTCCATTTTAGTCTAATGATGTTAATGGATTGTCAAAGCCTTCCACGCTGATTCGTACAAGTCATTTCATTAACAAACATTTGGAAGTTAATCAAGTTTATAAAAATTAAGCAGCCCTAGGTAGATACCAATTTTATATTAGAACCTTAATAAAATTAAACATTTGGAAGTGTGAGAAAATGCAACTTACTACCCCACAGGCCAATATATTTCTTGAAAGAAAGTTTTCTGTGAGTAGTGGAAAACACCTTAGAAACATGAAGCTGCAGAATCGGTTCCCACCGGCGCAGACTGAACAAGTTCTAACCGATGCAAGCAGAAAGGAAAAGCTATATACAGGAATCCACATTCAACAACTTCAATACCTCCTTCAAAACCCCACACTTAGCATACATCTTATAAAAATAAAAATGAAATGTGTATATTTATTCGGTGGTAGGGTGCAAAGACACCTACTACTGCAATGAGGACACTAACATTCAACATACACTTAAGGCCAATTTATCAGCATTCAGCACTGGCTGTAGTGCTGACCAGCATTCAAGTAGCTCCCTCTCAAATTCAAGGAGTCTACTCACCTTTGTAGACTTACTCACTGCTTAAGTGCGCCCAGGCTCAGGTCACCAGCCACTTAGCAGAGCCAGCAGCCGGCTGCTGGGAATTCACCAGAGCTCTTGGGAATTGCCTGCCAGGAAGGTATCCAGGTGTCTGTTCTGGGATGAGATGGTGAGATTTCCTCTCTCCTACCAAGGAACAGTCTGTTCTCCTGCTTTCTGCCTTCCACCTTGAAATGCAACATCAGTGACAACTCAACCATTAAAAAAAAAAAGTGAAAAAGTAATCCAATTTAAAGTAAATCCCAATATAAAACTGTGGGCAACTCATTTGGAGTGAAGGTGCCATCAGCCTCGTAAAAAGATGTCACAGCATTTGAAGTAGTCAACTCTCCTGGTCCAAAACACTGCAGCAACACGACGACGAACTCTGGGCTATGCTGATAGGGAGACAGACTTAGTTTGCAAGGTGAAAAACTACTGCTCTTTGCAGAACCAACCACAATACAACGTTCTGGTTTAATGAGCAGCATCTCTGATTTTAAAAGTTAGGGATATGCTCCGAGATGGCATTTCACCAAGCACTGCTCATGCACTATGGACTTGATCCTACCGTATTGAAAACAATGGCAATTTGATTTCAATCTAACAGACCTTTCATAACTTCTATGTATGGCAAGTATCCTTTGCACAGGACTATGAAATACTGATGATAAATCCTCCCAGCATTTTCACAAGGTAAGAAAACATGGAGTTTTAAAGTGCCTAGCTGCTGTAGAGAACAGTAACTTTGTAGGAAAAAAGCAATACATAATTTATGTTGCAAAATAGAGTACTTACAGTACTTTGTACTTTAATAGCTTTTGATATAGATATTTAAAATAAAGAGGATGCATTATTAAAAAGTTACACATTAGCACATTTATCACGGCCCATGCTAAATCAAAATCTAGATTAGACTGCCAGCATCACGTTTAAATCCTCAGCTGCTTTAAGTAATGTTTCATGGAGGTTGCTTTTTTAAACAAAAGAATTGATTGTTGTTTTGTTTTGTTTTTTTACTTAAAAACCATATACATTTATATTCAAGGATAGTCATATATAGAAAAAAAAGGAACCCCAAAGGTAAATTAATTTAACATTGAAAAAATATACACAACCTTGGAAAACATGATACCATTAGTATGTAGTTTTATACATATATGTATATATGGACAGATATAGATATATGTATATACAATACAGCATAAATATGTAAAGAACTAAGTGAAATTCCATAGTAACAAGTTATATTCCTTTATAATCACTGGCACACTGGTTTTTCAAGTTTGTCAATGCACCTGCTTGTCAATACTAACTATAACAGATACCAAAGGGCTGCTGAAAGGTCCCGGTTTTCGTAATGAATTACTTCCATTATAATAATTCACTGTTTAGGGAATTAAAAGCAAAAGGCGCACCGGGTTCTTTCCCTTCTCTCCACCCTCTAAAAATAAAAACCTTAAACCTATTTTCAATATGCTCGTGATGCAAATTTCAGAACGTTAACCATCTTTTCTCCAATTCAGCATCATTGCAATTTGGTGGGGGGAAACCAGCAATGCATGTTTAGAGACTGAGAGTTTGCTTTGACCATCTTTAGCATAAGCCAGCAGACCCGATTCTATGTTCTCTCTTGCATGTATTTTATACCCAGATGTTTCAACTGACTTCAGTGGAGATCTTCCCAATTTACAGCAGCATAACTGAGGCAAAATTGCTTTCAATGCCAGAGTACTAAGGTTGAGGTGACTGCTTATAGGCCTGGAAAAGTTATTAAAGTACATTCCTACAATATTTGGGGTATTTCGATTTTGAACACAAAGCATAGGGAGTGCAATTTTCAACACACGGAAAAGAAAAAAAAATATATCACACCCTGCTTTTCCCTCTTTAGCACCAAAAGAGAAAGGAAAGAAAGTTCTTAGGTTTTGTGAAGGAAAACTTGGAAGAAAAAAAAAAAGATCTGAATCTTTCTCACAGACACTCCAGGCAAAATTTTCTGATTTAAAAATAACAATTTTACTACAGGTTTCTATTTTAAACAACAGCTTGAAAATTAGAAGGTTTTTTTCCAAACACTTTTAAAGTTGTTGGGTTTTTTTTGACAGCCAAGTCCACAGCACAGTTAAAACCATGCTAGCAAAAAATCGCGCTTTTATGTCACTTCAGACTGCAGAGAGCTAGTTGCTAGCAGGGTTACCTTATAAAAGCAATACAGACAGGGGGGTTTCTGAGGACACAGCATTTCCATGCATGCTACACCAGTGCTACAAGATGACCTAAGGATGGAGGACTTCATACATGGGAGCAGAAAACCTGGGACTGAGGAACAGTGTTAGAATAATGATACCAAGAAATGCAATAAAACAGTTCACATTGCTTCAGCGTACTGTTAGCAGACCCTTTGTCACCAAGTTCCCAGCCAAACTTTGCACTGGGATGCAATGAAGGTGATATTAATATCCACATGCTGAGATAGGAAGGGAGTACTAGAAAACAGCTCAAAATGTACATGGGGAGAAAGTCCAGGGGAATGGGTTGGTGTTTTTAAGCTGATATTCTTAAAATCTGAAAAAAATGACAGATTTGGTTGTTTGAATTAAAATGAGTTTGCTTCTCAGCATAAAAGACATATGCCCATGTGAATGTAAAACAGGTCTGTCACCTTCCCAGATGAAAAGGGGTCCAGCTAGTTGACCATATTGCTAACAGAAAAAGAAGAAAGACTGCACTAGATGGAGATGCTCACTGATAATAAAAAAACCCAAACAAACCATGGCTTGCTTTCAATTAAATCCAAAATGTCATTTCTTCAGGAAGCAGCTAAAAATGTTTTGTTTTGTTTTGTTTTAAAGATTATTCCCAATGCCTGGTTGTATGCAAGAGATGATTAGCTCCTAGGCAAAACCAGCTACATCCCTTGCAAGAAACACAAAGCTTTTAAAATAGGTTTTTCAAACCATATCAAGGTTGTAACCATCCAAAGAAAATCTTGCCATGAAGGGAGAAAAATCAATCACTCATTACCATGTTGTAAGAAACTGAGAAACACACTGGAAAAAAACCACAACACATCAACTAGACTCACGCAGCTCGTAACAGGTTTACAAGGTTAAGATCTGGTATTGTGAAAATGTGTTGCTAAGGTTTCAGCTCCTCCCGAAAGAAAACCCATGGTACTGCAGTATACCACAGACATTTGATTTTATTTACAGGTAGGCTTTAAAATCATTAGGTCACTGTACTGTAGTTTCCCTGTATGGCACCAAGTTTGCTTTTTAAAAAAGTGTCTCCGTTTGCGTGCATGTGTGTGTCTCCGTGGGTGCGTCTGCGTGGCAGGCCCCCAAATGCAATGTTCCATTCGATATTCTCCAAAGATCCCAACGGTTCCTCATTTGGTTAAGCAGCCAGTGTATCAGAGTTCGACAGAGGTTGCAATTACATTGCCTTCAGCGCAGCAATGTGAGAGCCTAGATTCTCTTGCAGGTAATACAGCAGATGGAGTTCATAATGTTCTCCAGACTCGGGTACCCTTATACTGTGTCTCTCCTGAGGGTAGATCTAAAGTACAAAAGAGAGAGTTGTGAGCACACGCACCATTGGCATACAGCAGCATTTGTACCAGCCACCTCACACAGAGTAGTAACATCCAAGCAGCTGCGAGAGAACAGAGGGGAGTGTTGAATGCAGAACAGTAGTTCTTCATCCTTTCCATGCCCTGGCCCCTATGATACAGTAAGGAAGAATGATCTGGCACTCCTCTTCCAACAAGCAGTAAAGAAAAGGAGAGTTAGAAGCCAAAAGCTGGAGATCTCCTTTACAAGAAACCGTTAGCAGTAAGAGTGAAAATCCAACTATTTGCCTTGAAAGCTTGTAGTTACAGTAGCAAAATTAAACTAATGAAAAATGTTCCAAACTTCCCAAAAGGGAGACAGGAAGAAGACACTGCAGATTGCAGTTAGGCAATGGCTGTGCACTCTCTATGGCCAGAGACCGAAGCAGACCAGCACGTTATCTGGTGTCGAGTCTTCTCTGGCAACTCCTGTGCCCTCTTTTCAGCTGCCAAATTGAAACCTGACAATCCCAGCACTCCTCTCTTCACATACTTGTATTTATTGTGAGCATACTGCCTAGTGTGCACACACACACAACTACTGACTGTCTCTTTACAGTCCCAAACAAGTGTAAATACCAAAAACAGGCCAAACAGCTACACCAAACGTTGATGCACTTCTCTGTCCATCAGGACACTCAGTCTGAGGAATAGTGGAAAACCTCCCGTGCTGCAGCAGAAACGAAGATAACAAGGCTACTTTTGTATGCACACTCTTGACACTGTTGAGGTCCTTACCTGTAAGTCGTATGGTTTCCCGGCCCTCACTAGAAAGCTCAGCAATATACTAGTGTGTGCAAAGTGAACGTTCTCATCCAAGAATCCATGTAGCAGCAGCAAACGGTTTGGTCTGAGAAAGACAAGATGCACGTATTGAGACAGCTGCCTGGACCCTGCAAGGCATTTTGCAATCCACAGAAATTCCTCCCTTTAGTTTAGAGGCAAGGATTTTTGTGGGTAAGATCTTCTACTGGATGAAGGTTCTGATGTGATGAAGGACACCTTGCCTTCAAAAGCTTGTCTAACTTTATCACAACCACACAGGTGGTACAATAAAAGGTATCACCCATAAAAATCCTTGCCTCTTGCATGATTCCTAGACATGACTACTACAACAACACCCCAATGCTGTCAAAACACAGAAGATACTGAAATCCTCTCCCTTTAGTTTAAGCATTTTAATACCAATGGCCCCATCCCATAGACCCCACTCAGGCAGGGCTCATCATTTGTGTTTTCAGGTCCCATTCTCTCCTTCCTGGGGAGCTTGTCCTGAACATGTGAATCAGGGCTGTGTTTCTATGGTCTCTAATAGACGTTACATTTAAGACATGAGTAATCAGTTAATCGTGTCTTAAGTAGTAACCCAGCTACACGTTCATGCAGTTAGTGGTGTGATAAAACAGGGAATAAGCTATAAAATGATTGCAAAAAATGTGTAATAATTCTGTGGCTGGGTCCCATTGTGCCATAAACTGAATGCGTGGCCAAGACCTAGAAGCACCAGTCCGCTGATGGGCAATCCGACTCAGAAGCACACTGCAGCCTTGAAGGGCCCCCCCCGCCCTCTCACACCTAGGAACACAGACCAGCTGACTGGCGCTCCCAGCCACGGATGCACCGAGCACCTGGCTTACTACTTCCCGGTACAGGGGGAGTCCCGGCTCATGATCCCAGGCTGCCCTTGTACTGCCAATACTGCACGATTAGGATCTAAACCCTGATGCCAAAATCGCACCTCCTGCCATGTGCATATGACATGGCGAGAGGCACAATTGTCAGGATTGTGGATCAGATCCCACTGCACCTTTAATGCAGTGACTATCAGTGGCCTATATTAACTTTCCTCTCTCCACATGTGAACAAATGTACTTTAAGCTGCTTCCAAATGGGAGGGAGAGATGCTGCTTGGGAGTGCATATTAGCTGTTACCATCCGCTTGTAGCACCTGCAGGATCCTGTAGCAATACAAATGAGCTGAATGCTCCCAATGACCAGGAATGAAGCAGGGTTAAAGTTGGAGGAATTTTTGCTGCACTTGAATTGCTACAGAATCATGCAGACCTAATAGTTAGGTCATAACAGTTTGTGTGGACCTCCTCCCATGTCAATACAATGGTTACATCTGCCTGCACTCCCAGAAACGCTGTCTTGACTGGGTGCTAAACCTGCACCACTGGACGTTCATTCTGCAGCAACACACATCGGTATCTCAGATTCTAAATACCTGCACGCAGATACGGGCCTGGGAGCCCAGGAAAAAAAAAAGGCATTTTGATCAAATATTATTTGTCTCATTTAATGTTGCTCAGACTAAAGAGCTAATTATGTAATTGAAGTTATGGCTGCCATTTCTTGAGGTGTAAGAGATAGTCTTTAATTACAGCCAATATAAAACAGATTACTCAGAACGGCCCATAATTATGCAAATGCTCATTCAAGTTTATTAAGTGGTATTTTAAGACTGGCATTTACGGTTTCGGCATTTAATTGCCGAGAACTGGGAAATAAAAATGCAGCTCTAGGTTTGAATCTCCTCGGTAGGGGGGAGGGGTACAGGGAAGCCACACTTACTCAGAAGGAAAATTCTCTGCCTGCATGGCCACCGATCCTAGGTAGTAGCCCTGCTCGTTGTGGTCCGGGTGGCCCATGTAGCGCTCTGTGTAGCCAGTATCATAGAACATCCACAGGGTGACGGGGGCGCCCGCTATAGCAACCTGCAGATGCCAAAAGGACCAGCAGCGTAAGACAGGGAGGCAGGCAGGGATGCAGGTACATGTCTCTGTGCCCATACCCCCCCAAGAAGCCTTTATTGAGTGGTCTGGAAAACAGTAGGGGTGCACCAATAAAAAAAATTTGGCCGATACCAATGGCCGATTATTAACCAGCCATATCAGCTGATACCGATCTGATAGCCGATATACAGCCCAGCAGCTTGGAGACCAGCGTCTGGCTGGTAAGTCTGTGTGTGGGGTGCAGACTGAGGTCCCTGCGGTGAGGGAGGGGGTGGGGCTGGAGTAGGGGCAGACACTAACCAGCCGGGGCGGAGTGGTGTGCAGGACGAAACTGGGGGCAGCGGAGGGAAGCGGCAGGTCCCTGCCACTGTGCGCACCACCAGGTGAGGCACGGGGGGCATGTGCCCCCCAGCTTTGTGTGTGAAGCAAGGGCGGGTTTGCCCACTGCAGGCTTGGGGTCAGGGGCTGCGCCCACCTCCTCCCAGCAAGGAGGCTCAGCTGGGGCTGTGCTTGGGGTGGCTGGCAGCGGCGCTGGGAGGGAGGACTGTGTGGGGGGGGTGGTACAGGGAATTTTGGGGTGGCTGTTCTTGGCACCACTTCTGCCTGCCCCAAGCACAGCCTTGGCCCAGCCCCCTGCTAGGAAAAGGCCAACACAGTCTCTGGCGCCAAGCCCACAGTAGGCAGCCTGCCCTCGCCCTGTGCACAAATCTGGGAGGCATGTGCCCCCCATGCTTCCCCTGAGGGTGCATAGTGATGGAGAGCTGCCACCCTTCCTCACTCCTCTGTGCCCCCCAAACGAGCCATCCGTGGCTCTGTCCTGCACCCTGCCCCATCCTGGCTGGGCAGTGCCTGCCTCTGCCCCAGCACCACTCCCTCCCTCAACGTGGGGGCCTCAATCTGCCGCCCGTCATGCCCCTTCCCTCACCCCAACCCCTTTCTTCCCCCCCACAGACTTACTGGCCAAATACTGCACTCCAAGCTGCCCGGCAGCATTCCTGGCTGGGTGCATGCTGTGGCTATGCACATACACGCGGCATTTATCCATGACGTTACCGGCTACACTAGCCAAAAAAAGCCAATTGTCAATTTTCCTTGTATCAGTGCTGATCCAATATGGACCAATATATCGGTGCACCTCTACAAAATGATGCAACCATCATTTGTAAAAAAAGCACCTGTTCAAATCTGTGTGACCGGCATGGGGAAAGAAGTCCCTCACCTTTCCCCTGGCACAAATGGGGCCAAGATTCATGACAAGAGGTCCCTGTCTAGTGAGATCAGGGAGTTGCAACAGTTTATACCAGTGGGGGGGTCTGACCCCATAATACCCTTTGGTCCTGTCTACAGTCTGACTCCAGTTCTGCTATCACTGTGCTGTGCTAGCAGGTTTGCCTGGTATGACAAGCCTGATATAAGTATTCCAGCAAGATCTGCCTTGTGTGGACAAGGACTTTGAGGCCCTGATCTATACTGATATACTGTCTTGGTAACTGGGGCCCACTTGGTCTTGGAAGGTAAATGGACAAGCAAGGAACTACACTGAAAAAGGCAAGTTGGCTTTACTCGAACTGTTTAAGATCCGTGGCTTTGTTCATTCCAACGCTGGGTAGAAACATGGAACAAACGCTCTCCAGCATTCAGCCCTACCTCCTTCTTTAGGTACTCCCTGATTTGCATCTTGGGATACTCCATGAAAGGCAAAAAAGGACTCAACAATCTAGCAATTTTTAAAGATTCAAAAATAATTAATATAAGATACCTTTAAAGCCCATAAAAAGGCAATAATTAACCCATTCATATACATTCAGACCTGCTTTATACAAAAAGCAAGAGCCACAAAAAACAAAATTAATGCTTTTAGCTCATGATGATAAATAATTAATGATATTTGACACTTCTTTTATGATCTTCCTTCCATGAATCCCAAAGGCTTTGTGGACACATAGGAACTGAATTATGTTAAGTATACTGATAAAAATCATGTTGAACTAATAGAACTATACCAGTACAGCTGAACTGGTACAACTCCCCCTAGCGTGGACACTTATATCACTGTAAAGTCAATCTCCACTATTCCAGAAAGGCAGTAATCTATCCTGATATATGGCACCTACATATACTTATCTATTAACTGAATCCACTGTAGGGGCTGAGCTGGAATAATTATATCCATAAAATTATAACCTGACATGATTATACCAGTGCAGACATCAATCTCTACACCAGACCTAGGTTCTCTGCAAACACAAATATGCCTCTAATGTAGAACAGCTTCATCCCCGCATCACAGGCAAAAAAAAACCTGAAGTGGAGAGAAATGAAATGACTGGCCCAGGGTCACGCAGTGAGTCACTGCTGTGTATTGCAATCCATGCTGAAGTTCAGTTTAAAAATACACTGCAGCAGTAGTCGGCAAGAAACAACGCTGTAATGCAGGAAATATTTTCTCTGTTCTCTTGTATCCAAGCCCAAAAACTGGAAGTCCGATTAGAAATATTGCTCGAGCACACAGACAGCAGAGGTATAATCTGGAAATGGAAATTTCCTTTGCAGTGCCCTCCTTCCTTCTATGCTATAGCCACATAACTGCTTGTATTGGGGCTGGGGGGTTGAGAAAGGCAGAATGTTTTGCACACACACCCCTGTTTACAGTGCACACTTTTGCATCTATTTACCACACAGCAAATGGATGCCTCACTCAAACTCAAGCAAGAAATGATTCTACCTGAGCCACAGGAAAAAGGACATGATATATGAACATACCCTGAAGATATCTGACCTCTGCATTAAAGCCATTAGAGATAGGTATCCTCCATAGGACCAGCCATGAATGCCCACTCGGTCGAGATCGATGAAGTCATGCTGGGATGCCAGATACTGCAGTCCTTCCACCTGATCTTCAATTTCTATTTGACCCTGTTGGAAGAAGGGTATTTGTTGCTGTTGTTCTTGTTAGTTCTTGACAAAAGTAGGATTCTCAGAGTCTCCAGATCAGCATCACGCAGGATTACTACTTATTATCTCGGCAGTGGTAACACCTTGGAGCCCCTATTGTGCCAGGCACAGTACAAACACAGAACAAAAGAATGACCCCTCCTCAAGAAGCATTCACACAAAGTGCATATCAGTCCCCTCCTCCAGTTTTCCCAGTGGTTGCGTTCTTCTTCGGGTCCCAAGGGTGAGCAGAAACTTCTCAACCTACAAGAAATGCCTGTACCATATTAAAGGCAGAACTGGGGCTCCAGGTTTCAAACAGGTACAACTGCCCCAGCCCCTCTGAATGGATGGCCATGAACCCTGCAAAACAACACAAAGCAGACAATTCCTTCCCTGCCTCTGTCCAAAACCAAGTAGGTTTCCTCCTCAGACAGGCCTATAGGAATTGCCCTGCCAGATCAGCGCAGTAATCCCTGCTCCACCTCTGAGCAGTCAGTGCAAGAGGCTTCAGAGGAAGGGCAAGACCTGCTATCTTGAGAAGATCCAAATGAACCTGGCCCCATCAGCCAGTCAGGAGCTGGTTTACAGCTCTTCTACTTCATCCCTTTTTGTTATTCAGGTTACTGTCTTTTCTGCCCCAGTCCCATACTGCTGGGATACATTCATCCCATTTTCACTCCACTTTCAAGTAAGAAGCACAGGAATTGTTACCAGAGTTATGCCACGCTACAGCTCTGAACACATTATGGCAACACACCTAATTCCCACCTATTTCCACTGCCCATAGCTGAAGCGGCAAACACAGAATTGCATTGGTACAAAAACGTGCATTTCCCCACCTACCATTTTGTATTTAAAGGCACCTTCAAACTTAAGCCCTCGGTGGCAGGACCCCCTGTTGTCAATCACAACCACCACGTAGCCTAGAGAAGCCAGGGTGTTCAAGCGGAAATACTTGATTCCTTTAAACCGATTGTTCACTAGCTGCACCTAGAAAAGAACAAGGGAAATGTTAACACAGCCACCTCCAGCAGAGCCTTGGAAATAAGGGGATGGGGCCACAGAAAACTGACTTCTCACCTTTTAATAGGATTATTTTATTTCTGTGTTTGATAAAGCCACCAACGTTTTAAGGAATACTATAAATTGAATGTCTATTATCAGGTTATCGAGATGTCTCTGAACAGAATTGCTCTTCTCAGCATGGGTGCTACTTGAGCAAGCTCTCTGCCCTGCCAAGAGCACTGCACCTCACTCACTGCGTGTGAATAGCTGTACTGAGCATCTCTTGTGTCAAATGAGGACCCTTCCTTCCTTGCCCTTACAACCTCTTCCCCTAGGGCCTTGGCAGGCACTGATAGAGTCCAGTGCTGTGCCACAGCTTTTCAGTGTTGTGCTCGCAGCTCATCAGAGCTAGACACAGACAACACTGGGGGCATGTTTGGCCATGATCCAGGTGACAGACAAGTACACTAGTTTGTACCTGAGATGGGAAATCCTCGGGAGGCTTTGGCAAAGCTGCTGCATCACATTAAATGTATTCCCACCCCCCACCTTGCATTTTAGGCTCATTTCTTTCCCACCAATAAAAAAGCAGCAGCAGAGAGTGTTGGTGTTAGCAAGTGTCAAGGCATCTGAACAAAACCCCTTCAAAATAAGAAAAGGATAAAAGTGCCAAAGCCTCTCTCCTCTTGCCTCCTATCCCCAGCACCCAGCCACCTTCATAGGAACAGCAAGTCCAAAAAATGGAGATCATCAGGAATTTTGAACAGCCTCTATTATGGCTGCAACACTTCGCTCACCTGAGGACCTCCGTAAATGAAGAGCACAGTGGGGTACTTCTTCCCAGGCTGTAGATTGTGAGGCTTGTACATCATGCCGTACAGCGTAAACCCTGTGGAACTCTCGAACGAGAAGATTTCCGGGGGGACATAGTCAGGAAGGGGGCCTGCAGGCGGGAAACAAAAGATGGCCTCTTTAACAAGGATCAGCAGGAGCTCAGCTCTCTGTCCAACCTACTCTTGATACTGTATTGACAGTAAGAGCTGAGACAGAGCAGCTGCTGGCGCAGTTCTAATCCACTCCATCCAAGGTCCCATCTCCCAAGAACTGTGCTGTAAAATCAGATAGAGGAAGCTGCAACCAGAGGTGGTGATGTTGCCAAAAGGAGCAGAGGGAGGGACAGGTGTAATTTTGTCCGTAACCTGCTTGCAGGTGCAGGCACTGCAGTGCAAAAAGTTGGGCACAGGCCCAAACCCTCCCAGAGTTCCAGGGTGTTTGACAAGGCTCCATCAATGGTGCTAAAGCAAAAAAAGCAGAGTGATTTTCCTCAAATAGGCAGGGAGAGGAAGTGGGGCATGGCTTGTGGAGCACCCTGCTGTTAAAAGGGATGAGGAGACAATGATTGATGAGACAGAGGAAATTCCCCATGTTCTAGAAGAAATAATATGCTGAACCTGAACTAGAACACAGGGCTGGCAGGGACCTCCCGAGTCATCAAGTCTGGTCTCCTGCGAGCATGGGCAGCCCCGGCATTGACAGTCCCTTTCACTCACTTATCAGACTCCACCAGAAACAGATTAGGGTGTCTGTCTCCTTCCAGACAGGATGTTTCAGAACCTGGCTCCTCTGAGCTGCTCAGAAACCTTCTTCATTTAAATTCCAGCCTGAATTTATTCACACAGCCTGTTCAAAAGAATTTGTTCTTTAACAGAGGACTGTTTTGAGGCATCAGCAGTACATTTTAAAAAGAACAGACACTCCCAGGCTCCACCTTCTCCCCAAAATAGAGCAAACGGAGCTGCGCTCTGCTCTGTTTCATGGACGTAACTTGAGAGTCAATCCATTAGCCTCACCAGAGTGGCTCTGGCTGCAGGGCAGCCTACAAAAGCAGGGCTTACCTCAGGGCTCCATGTTCTTGTTCATGAAAATGGTTAGTTAGCCCATATGCTAAATGTACATACTGATCTCTGCAACAAGCCCGACAACGTAGCAAACCTTCCCCAGTCACAAGCTGCTCCATAAGCAAATATCAACGTTTCATTTACCTTCTGGTTCGATTTTGTAACAGGGCTTACAAAATGGCAGATGCTGTGTTAGGAGTGGCTGCAAATACATTCAACCAGGCCTAGAAAAGGGCCCAGTAAGCCTCCTACAGATACCAGCATAAAAACAAAGGCAAAACCAGACACATTTACTTGGGCACCTACTCCCACTGGTTGCAGGGTAAGTCAGGGGAGCAGACACCCACTATTGATTCTCCCAGGATGTTTCTTGTTGTGGCTGCTTTGGTTCTCCATTACCAGTTTTCTAGCCATGTTATTACCTGCTGAATCTAGAATCATGGCCCAGAAGTCCTTCGCTCTATGAGCTACATCGTCTTCTGGTCCAGTCAGCCTGTAGAGCGATACGCAATGTGGGCTCTTCTGGTTACTGTACTTACTGATGAACATGTCACAGTCCTGGAGAGGAAGAGGAAAATACTGTCTCCGTCACAAGGCAGGACCACAAGCCTGAGAATAAACTTGGATCTCTCTGAGGAAGCTCAGAGACCGTGCTAGAATTGGGCAATGGAGTTGATCTGACAGCTCAGAAGCTGCAGTCTTATCATAACAACGTTCCTTCCTGCCAGATGCTGAAAAACGCACCTGCAAAATTACTGGCAGCATTAGTCTCTGCCTGGGGGCTGGCACGGAGGGGTGTACTTGCACAGATTCAAGGCCCTGCATGTCCCAGCACACGCACCTGTCGAGGCCTGGGCCCATGGATTTTGCAACAGTATTAAACCAGCAGGAGCCAACAGTGTTATATGTGAGCATGACTCCATTTGCCAAACAGGAAAGCAGCAGCTCTGCCAAGGAGCACCAGACCCAGCCCTTTCAGCACATGCTGAGCAGCGCTACCTGACTAACACAGCAGGCGTGAGAGTAGCCGTGCTCTGTCAGCCGCTTCGCCTCTCCGGGATTCTCGTAGCTAACGACGTACAGGTGGTGCTCTAAAGGGGAGTCCTTGGTGCCTTGGAAGTACACCAGCTTGTTTGCTTCATCCACACGGATCTGCCAGAAAAGAAACCCACCACCTCAGTTTGTACCAGCTGAATCCATTCAGTTCTGTTCCCAGTGCTCCCTTGCCAAGGCTAATTTAGAAAGGTAGAGCTCAAAGGATCTTTTTATATGTGTACACCTGTACTTGCAGACAATTAATTTTACTAGTTACCTTGTTGCCTGGTTCCCCAGGATGCCAAGTCCCCCTGACTTTACCCACTGTCCGCTCTCATCTTTATTAACCTAAATAATCCCAGCACCACTTCTACTGCCCCCTTCGCTGTTCACTCCTTTCCCCAGGTTATGGATAACTACACACACACACACACACACACACCAGTCCCAGAGGGAAGCCTGGGGAACACAGATCGGTAACCTTGTGCCATCTGAAACAGCAACCAGACAGGCATGCAGACTCTTCCACTAAGTAAGAAAAACAATTTCTGAGCATGACAATTTTTTATGCCTAAACTCATAACTCCTTTGTTTTCCTTAATAACCTTCTGTAAGGGACTTCCCAAAGGCCTTCTGAAAGTCCAAAAGAGAAAAAAAAAACCACACCCCTCACTTCCCACAAATCACTGGTAGCTGGTTCTCCTTGTTCTGCCATTTTACTGAAATGCTGAGTGAATTCAGCGTGCTTAGAGAAGGTGAGTATCCTTGTACCAAAGCCATGCTGACCAGACCACTAGCAGATCATGAGCCTTCAGGTCTTTCCTACTAATTTGTAACGGTTTGTTATTATTGCAAACGATCTTGTCAAGCAATTCCCTGTTCTTCCAGTGAAGTTCATGGGGCTGTAACTTCCAGGATCCCTCCTAGCACATTTCTGAAAGGTAAACAAAACTTTGCTCCCTTCCCACACTCCAGCTGGGGTAAGTCTGCTGTGCTCGGAGGCAGAGCAGCAGTTGGACACCACGGCTTTGACCATTTCACTTGCATGGAATTTTCCTTCCACCCAGGTGAAATATAACTCCTCATTTCCCCCTCCTGTCCCATCACCCCTAAACCAGCCACGAGCCTCATAGTTGGTCGGGTCAGAAGGGACCTGAGCAGATCATCAAGTCCGACCCCCTAGATGGCAGGAAAGAGTACTGGGGTCAAACGACCCTGGCAAGGTGTTCGTCTAGTCTCCTCTTAAAGACCCCCAAGGAAGAAGCCAGCACCACTTCTCTTGGAAGTTGGTTCCAGCTCCTACCCGCCCTGACTGTGAAGTAGTTCTTATGGATGTCTAGTCTGAATCTACCCTCTGCCAGCTTGTGACCATTATTTCGAGTCACTCCTGGTAGTGCTCAGGGGAACAGGGACTCCCCCAATGCCTGCTGGTCACCTCTGACTAGGTTGTAACAGGCCACTAGATCCCCCCTCAGCCTTCTCTTGTGAAGGCTGAACAGGTCCAGGTCCCGTAGCCTCTCCTCGTAGGGCCTGCCCTGCTGACCCCTGACCATGCGGGTGGCCCTCTGGACCCTCTCCATGCTGTCCACATCCCTCCTGAAGTGCGGCGCCCAGAACTGGACACAGTACTCCAGCTGCGGCCTGACCAGTGTCACATAGAGGGGGAGGATCACCTCCTTGGACCTGCTCAAGATGCATCTGTGGATGCATGACAAGGTGTGGTTGGCTTTCCTGACCGCGTCCCCACACTGTTGGCCCATGTTCATTTTGGCATCAATAATGACTCCAAGATCCTTTTCTGTCTCTGCAGTGATGAGAAGGGAGTTTCCCAGCCTGTAGGCATGCTGCTGGATCTTCCTCCCCAGGTGCAGCACCTTGCACTTGTCAGTGTTGAAACCGATCCTGTTCTCATCCGCCCACCCCTGTAACCTGTCTAGGTCCAATTGCAGCCTATTCCTCCCTTCCAGCGTGCCCACTTCTCCCCACATCTTAGTGTCATCAGAAAATTTGAAAAGGGTGCTTTTTACCCCCTCGTCCAAGTCACTGATGAAGATGTTGAACAGCGCGGGCCCGAGGACTGAGCCCTGGGGGACCCCGCTGCCCACAGCCCTCCAGGTCGAAAATGCTCCATCCACCACCACTCTCTGGGTGCGGCCCTCCAGCCAGTTAGCGACCCATCTGACTGTGCAGGTGTCAACACCACAGTCCCCTAGTTTTTTAATGAGAGTGCAGTGAGAGACAGTGTTGAAGGCCTTCCTGAAGTCCAGAAAGGCTATGTCCACTGCTACCCCTGTGTCTAAGAAATGCACAGAACAAAGTAAGGAACAAAGCAAGGAAGACACCTGCTAAAGGTACCTGCCTACACTGCTCAAGTACTTCCACTGAGACCAGAAACTCAGGGATGGGATATTAAGTTAAATAATGGCAAGCAGCTCCTTTGCCAGTGTGGAAAGCAAAGCAACCCTGGGCACTCGCACATACGTGACATATGTAACAAAAAAATCTTCTGCGTGTTGTGAAGTGACAGGAGACTTCTGGCAATGCCTTAGGAACACCACAGACCTTGTGCAAAGAGCCAGCCAGACCTAGACCTACTACTCAGGTCCTTGTGGTGGGCTGGAGAGGCACAAGACAGAAGCGGGACACGGGTCTTGGGCTGGGTCACTGCACAGGGAGGAATTAAATCCAGGAGGGTAGGTGGGGCACGGCCAGTCTTCCTGAGTTGCCTCAAGCCTGACCAGAGGGCAGACTCCAAAGAGGGAGAGCTGGTCAGTCCCTAGATTCATAGATTGTAGAGTCAGAAGGGACCCCACAGGATCATCGTGTCCGACCCCCTGCCCCTGGCAGGAAAGAGGACCGAGGTCAGACGACCCCAGCCAAGTGCCTATCTAGCCTCCTCTTGAAGACCTCCAAGTTAGGTGACGATTGGCAGCCCGTTCCAGATTCTGGCCACCCTTACTGTGAAAAATTTCTTCCTAATGTCTAACCTGAATCTACTCTCCACTAGTTTGTACCCATTATTCCTAGTTACTCCTGGGGGTGCCCTGGTAAACGCCTCATCTCCAAGTCTCTGCTGTCCTCCCTTGATAAACTTATAGGCTGTTACAAGGTCTCCCCTCAGATGTCTCTTGTGAAGGCTGAAGAGATCCAGATCCCTCAACCTCCCTTCGTAGGGTCTTGCACAGAGGCCACTAATCATACGAGTGGCCTCCTCTGGACCCTCTCCAGATTCTCCATGTCCCTCTTGAAGTGCAGCACCCAGAACTGGACACAGTACTCCAACTGCGGCCTGACCAGTGCCGCATAGAGGGGGAGCATCACCTCCCTTGATCTGCTGGTCATGCATCTGCTAATGCACAACAAGGTGTGATTGGCTTTGTTGATGGCTTCGTTACACTGCTAGCTCATGTTCAGCTTGGAGTCAACTGTGACTCCAAGATCCCTCTCTGCCGCTGAGCTGCTGAGGAGGTCATCCTCCAACCTGTAGGTGTGCTGGGGGTTCCTCCTCCCCAGGTGGAGTACCTTGCATTTGTCTTTGTTGAACTGCATCCTATTTCATTCTGCTCATTGATCCAACCTGTCCAGATGGGCCTGTATCTGCTCCCTGCCCTCCGGTGTGTTAACTTTGCCCCATAACTTAGGTGTCATTTGCAAACTTGGACGGGGTGCTCTCCACACCCTCATCTACATTGCTGATGAAGGTATTAAATAACACTGGTCCAAGGACTGAACCCTACGGGACACCACTGCCCACCTCCTTCCAGGTTGAAAATGACCCGTCCACCACCACTCTCTGGGTGCGGTCCCTAAACCAGTCTGCCACCCACCTGACTGTGTAAGCATCCGCTCCACAGCCCACTAGCTTCCCTATGAGAATAGGATGTGAATAGGATAAGAATATATGTGAAACTGTGTCAAAGGCCTTCTTAAAGTCCAGGTAGATGACATCAGCCTCAGCTCCAGTGTCAAGGCAGTGTGTGACCTGGTCATAAAAGGCTGTAAGGTTTGTCAGGCAGGATCTACCTGTGACGAAGCCGTGCTGGTTTCCTTTCAGCATCATTTCCCTTGCTGGGCCTTCACAAATGCGATCTTTAATTTTTTTTCCAGTGTTTTCCCAAGGATAGAGGTAAGACTGACTGGTCTAAAGTTACCTGGCTCATCCCTTCTCCCCTTCTTAAAAATGGGCACCACGTTGGCCCTTTTCCAGTCCTCAGAGTGCTCAAACAGCCATGCCAGCAGCTCAGCTATGACACTGGCCAATTCCTTCAGCGCCCGTGGATGGAGGTCATCCGGGCCGGCTGACTTGTACCCATCCAGCCCCTCCAAGTGCTCCTTAACTAAGTCAGCACTAACCACTGGCGGTCTAGTTCCTCCCGGACATCTACCTATGTTCAAATTGGGGAAATTATCTTGGCCAGTACTCAGGAATACTGAAGTGAAGAACTCATTGAAGAGCTCTGCCTTTTTCCCTGCGTCGGCCACCAACTGTCCTGATTTGTCCTGCAGGGGCTCTATGCTACTCTGCGCCTTCCGTTTGCTCGCTATGTATCTGTAGAAGGACTTTTTATTGTCCTTGATTGTTGTAGCCAGGCTAAGCACCAGTCCTGCCTTGGCCTGACTGATTCCTTGCAATAGCACGCCAGGGAGGGATATTCCTCCTTGGTGGCTGCCCCCTGCTTCCACTGCCTATACATCTCTTTCTTTGCCCTCAGTCTTTTCTGGAGTTGCCTGTTCAGCAAAGCGGGCTTTTTAGTCCCCTTGCCCCCTTTCCTGCGTAATGGAATAGTCTCCTTTTGTGCCCCAAGGATCACTCCCTTGAGTGATTTTTCCATATGCTCGATGATCTTGAGTTCAGCCACCTCACTAACTATCCTTCTAAGTCTACTAAAATTGGCCCTTCTGAAGTCTAACACTTTAGCCTCACTGGTTATTCTTCCCACCTTTCACTGGATTGTGAATTCGACCAAACGATGGTCACTATCTCCCAGGTTACTGTGCACTCGCAGGTTACCCACGAGAACATCCCCCGTTGCCAAGACCAGGTCTAGCAAGGCGCTACCCCTGGTGGGACTGGACACCTCCGGGGTTAGGTGGAGGTCCTGCATGCAGTTTAAGAACCTACGTGAGCGGTTTGTTTTGGCCGTCTGCTCCTCCCAGCAGATGTCTGGGTAATTTAGGTCCCCCATGACCACTGCCTAGTGCCAGCTCAATTTCTCATGCGTGCATGTTGCACTGTGCACACAACAGAACATGAGCTGTAGCTGGATTTCCATGTTAATAATACCCTAGTGCAAGACATCTGATTACAGGGGTGACATCGAGAAGACTGTTACCTTCCTCTATTCCATACATAGCAGCATGGCTATGTGGACATGACCAGGTGTGTGACTTCAGTCTCCTTCCTCACTCCCTTCCAAGCAGCTGTTCCCTGCTCTCATCATCTCTCAGCAACCTTTGCCTCTAGGGTGCCTGTAATATCAGCCCTTCAATAGCAGTTGGACATATGGTCTGGATGGCTCAAGCACAGTTAGCTTAGGAGTGAGCAGCTGGCTCCCTCTTGCCCAGACTCGAACGTGACGGCTGGACTTTCAGCTCAGGGCCGTCCCTGCAGAGTTTCCGGATCAGACCCAGAGCCACTGCCCCATTCACCAGGGGATTCTCTGCCACCCGGCTTCTTGCCAAGCTTTAAGGCCGCAATGATCACATGGCCCAACCTCTATAACACCAGTCAAACAGAAGCTTCCACACAACTGTCCCACTATTCCTGTTTCCTTGTCAAAACATGCTCTTGCTCTCCCTTCATCCCTTTTGGTTAGAGGAAGACACAGGACCTCACACCACAGTCTGTCCACGTAACCGGGCAGCCCATTAGGGAGCCTAGGATCTAACTCACTTTGCCTGTTATCCGATCTAGAGTTCAATCCACAGAAGGCTGATGACAGCAGTACCTTATGCTTAACGGAAAATAAACACAAAGGAACGTACGTTGGAACCATGTCGACCGAGGACTTCCCATTCTCCACTGGTAACTGCCAGTTCCTCCTTGATGGGACACTTGAAGTCACCTATAGGGAAGACACACACTTACAGATTGCAGACTTCCCACCCTATCAAAGCCCTACAAGTGCAATTTCACTGGTAGCCCTTTACTTGAATGAA